TAGATTGGCTGTCAGTACTTCAGGATTGATCAATTTTCAGATCTATACCATAGTTTGTGAACTCTATAACTTTCCTACAAACTAAAAAATACATCCTAATTTGGGTTATTTTCACCAAAGACATGTAGCAGAATACATCTCGGCCTAAATTTATGAAGAACAATTATTTATTTGCAAACTTTTATAACAGAAACAAAGAAAAACTTTTTTTTCCCAAAATTTTTGGTCTTTTTTTTGTTAATTTAGCAAAAAATAAAAACCCCAGCGGTGATTAAATACCACCAAAAGAAAGCTCTAGTTGTGTGAAGAAAATGATAAAATTTTAGTTTAGGTACAACGTTGTATGACCGGGCAATTGTCATTCAAAGTGTGAGGGCGCTGAAACCTGAAAACTGGCCTGGGCAGGAAGGTGTAAAATTGCCCGGTATTGAATTGGTTAACTTCAAATAAACGTAAGTATAATGTGTAGCTGGTTATTAGTCAGACAGATTTCAGTGAAAGCACAATAGAAACTCATTGAATAATATGCAGCTTTTTTCTCTGCTGTATACCATTTTTGTCCACAATTATAATTTTCAGTTTGAATGGTATTCTCAGGACAACAACCGTTACATTTTGTTAAATGTAGATTTTAACCCTCTGTTATGCTGATTGTCATTATTATAAAGTACCATAATTACATTTTTATTTCTTTCCTGTGAGGTGTTTTGAAAGGATGATGTATTGTGTTTAAAAAAAAGTATTATAAAATGTTTCTATAGTCCAACCTGCCCCCATGGTGCAAAGTGCATGTAGCACTTTGTCCCTTTTTTCTGTGTGGTTTGGCTGCTGAGCTAGTGTGGTCTTTAGTGCACCTCCCCTCCCCACTGCTGTTTTAGACCTCATGCATACTGCAGCTGTCAAAAACCTGTTTTAAAAGCATTTGGCTTTTTTTTGTCTGCCCCTAAACACCCCCCTATGTTAGCCTAGGTGGCAATGAGTTCAGAGGCAGGGGTGTTTAGGGGCAGAAATCTGAATGCACCAAAATTGCGTTTTTATGGGCAGAAAAAATGCCTGATGTGTCTAAACATGTCTAAACATGCTTGTTTAACGCTTGAGCATTTTTTCATTTCAATGGTTGGAATAGATTATTATTCTGGCTAATGAAATAAACAAATGCCCAAGTGTTTGATGCTTAAATGCACCTAAACGCGGCTAAAAGCATCTATTAAAAAATGGCACGTTTTTGAAGCTGCTTATCTCCTGCTAGGAAAAAAGTTGTTTAAAAGAGCCCCAGTGTGCCTGAAGCCTTACCATGTTCCTTTCAAGCAGATTAATAGGTAGTAAGTTTGGAATGACTGCACTTATCTTAGCCCTTTGAGGACCAAGGGACGTATTTGTCCCATGTTTGTAATTGCGTGTATCATCTGATTAAGAACTTAAAACTCTTTTTTTTTTTTTGGTTTGAGTCAAAATATTAGTTCTTATCAACAAACAACAAATGGATCTAGCTTTTTGCCAATTATGTCATGAAATGATTTAGTTACAGCAACTGAAGTGTACGAACTTTAAAAACAAAACAATTGATTCTTTTGGCGTTCCAAAATCTTACGGTCCTCAAAGGTTTAGCACCAGGCACTTAACAGAGAAGAGCACAGCTAGATGGTCAGGATACAGGTAGGCTCACAGGAGAGGCTTGTGCCATCACTACTACTATGGTATACTGCTTTATTTAGTCTGCTGTACTGAATCTGTACTGATGATGTTACCATGACCAAGATGCAAAGTCAGAGCAGAGGGTGCTGGAGTAACAGAGCTCTGTTTGAAACTAACATGAACGACCACAAATTGGGCTATTGACAGGGGAAAAGCTGACAGGTAGCATTGGAAGAGAAAGAAAATGGATTTTCTGCAGAATTTCACTACCAAGTACTACTAACAGCAGTTAGGATTTAATTGCTCATAAGACATCTTCTTTAACTCCAGGGGAAAAAGTAAGGGTGCCAAAAAGACACAGAAAGGAGGTTGGATGTGAAAGCATGACGCAACTGACTTACGCGGTACCTTGGCCCTGTGTTGTACTCCAACTGCCTTTCCACATTTATGACTTTTAGATTCATGGAAGCTCCTAAAGAATTCTTCTTTAAAAGTAATAAGGAGGTAATGATGTGATTTCACATCCTTAAAGATGATGTTGCATTTTTCTGTAAGATTTCCCCCCCCCCCCAAAAAAAAAAAAAAACTATTACACTGTGGTGTATATGCTACATATTTGACCATTCATGTCCTACACATACAGAATAATTCATCTGGCCTTCTACCTTCCATGTACAAGCTTCCCCTGGCAATTAGCAGTCTACATTTCTTGAAATGATATATCTTCATCCACTTACTAGTTCTTCTTTAGTTGTTTTAGAATATATTTTAAAGTACTTAAAACATGTCATCAATGTCACTTTATATTTCAAATAATTCTTATTCTATAATCTGAAAGCATGTATAATTCCACAATAAACATCTAAAATACTTATAAAGCATTGATAATCTCTCAATATTTGTTTCTTGTTAACTGTATTTTCCTAAGAAATAAAGAGCTGCTAATGAAGTATTGGAAAAAGGAGGAATTACAGCAATTGGATGACAGCAGAAGAATTGTCAGTGACCGTTAATGCATGTGTTTTTGGATATACAGGTTGTCAACGAGGTAATGACCCAGATACATTTTTAGCTTACTGCACTGCAACCCCAAAATTCTGCTACAATAAAGTAGATATATACCATAACAAAATGACATTTAGCTTGCTTTTGTTGCTTCTCAGTGCTGCTGACCTCATGCATGCACTCCAGTGATGGCTATATGGCATTTCACATTCCACTGTTGACTTTGATTTTCTGGTTTAGCTGGTATATATTCCACTGCTGGCACAGTGATGATAGTGAGTCTCTTGCTCTTTATCTCCTCCATTCAGATAATGTCTTTTCACTAAATACAAGGCTTTCTCTGAAAAGATAAGGTAAAATTCCTCTCCTCCCCTTTTCCATTCAGAGAAAGTCTTGTATTCAGTGAAAAGAGTATAGTGGATGAATGGATTAGCTGAAGAGTTAGAAACTCTCTATCATCACCTATACCAGCAGTGGAACTTTTTGTCCCTATGGTTCAGCTTTAAGTGAACATTACTTAATCTTAATGTAGAACTGTAGCCTCACATTCAGGGGTGGACTGACAACTCATGGGGCCATCGGGCAATAGGGGATCATGGGGCCCCTGTGTCTTTGCTCAAACTCAAAAAGGCCTATGAAAAAGGTACCAGGGGCATCTTATGGGGCCCCCTACTGACTCCGGGCCCTCGGGCAGTGCCCGAGTTTCCAAATGGTCAGTCCGCCCCCTGCTCACATTAGAAATGCATGATGCAGAACTTCCTTAGAGCACACTTACAGTTTTCTCGTAGTCCCCCTACAAAGTCCTACAACTATTTGAGACTACCAATGATATCCACCAAATGCGGCTTCCAGTGCTGGTTCATTGGTGCAATGATGGTGCATTGACCCAGAAGAAACATACAGTCAGAACTCCTAATCTGCATACTTTTTCCAGAAAAAGTATTGAAGCCAGGCAGCTTGTAATTCCAAAGGAGAGGCCAGCAATGGCAGGAGTTGTATTTCTCTTAGTACAGGCATCTTTAGAAGCCAAGTCCTATTTTCTGCAGCAGTGACTTTCAGATATCTACCAATTTTCTACTAAATGCTTTGAAATTATTATCTTTATCATCCCCATGCCTATTTTTCTTTTCCCTAATGTCATAAGATTTGGACACACTGCATCTCTTTTAGAAAACATCGTAGTTGCTAGTCCCACAGTATGCTTTCTACTTTATATTGTGCCCATATCTTCCTCATCGCTGTATGTAGGCCAATCCTTATATGATTACATGAATGAAGAGGAAAATACTGCTTGTGAAAGCAGCATACAGTCTAATTAAGCCTTTAAAAATGGTAAAGGAGCATTCAGTATTTTGGGTTCTGATTGGACTAAAGTGCCTCCAAATTTACAGTTCATGAACATTGTACTACACTAGGGCCATACATGTATTTTTTAGAACAACTCTCACAAATCCCTTGTAAGAAGTCATTTCAGGGCATAGCCCTAAATAAATTTGCATATAACTATCCTGACATTGAGAAAAACTTCAAATTCAACAAAGCGATCCTATATGTTTGCAAAAACAAGACAAGCTCTGCCGGAGCCTTCTTAATTACATTGTATGTCACTGCGATCCTTGACTGGACACTGTAATCAGCAGCAGGAGGAGTACTGCACTCAGCATCTTTGGACATTTCCACAGGAAGAATTTCTGTTCACTGATTATATTCTAGCTGATGCAACCTTGGCGCAGAATACTAATTTGTGAGATTAATTGAGCATAAACAATCTAGTGTACACAGGGAACGTTTGTGACACCTTTTCCTACAGGTAAAATATACTGTCTATACCATGATCCGTCAGATACGTATCATTTTTTTACATTATGCAGGAAACACATTGGGGTTGATTTACTAAAACTGGAGAGTGCAAACTCTGGTGCAGCTATGCATAGAAACCAATCAGATTCCAGGTTTTTTTGTCAAATCTCAGAAGGGGTTGTAAAGGCTGAAGTTTACAAGGCTACATTCCCCATTACGGACTGTTAATCAGCGCGGTGTTGACCCAGCTGTTCTTTTATGATGTGCCTTGACTTTATTGTCGTTTGTGAGTACAACACCTATTTTATTTCTTATTAAACATTTTTTATGGTAATGCACTAGGCCTGTGCGCCCTCTCTTTGTTCTTTCCTCATTGGAAGCTGATTGGCTGAGCTGCAACAGATTTTGCACTCTCCAATTTTAGTAAATCAACCCCGTTGCAAGTGATAAGTCATATTCAGGATTGTGTCTAATGATCATGTAGTGTAGAATTACAATTCAAGGAGATCTGGTCACTAAAATGTTCTTCCAGCCGAGATCTGAATCTCAAGTTTGTGCTGTCAGAGTGTCCCTTTACATCAGGTGTGCCTACCAGAGTGCCCCCTTACATCGGTTGCTCCCATCAGAGTGCCCTCTTACAACAGCTGTCCCCATCAGAGTGCCCCTTTACATCAGGTGTCCCAATCAGAGTGCCCCTTTACATCAGGTATTCCCATCAGAGTGCCCCTTTATATCAGGTGTGCCTATCAGAGTGCCCCCTTACATCAGTTGCTCCCATCAGAGTGCCCTCTTACAACAGCTGTCCCCATCAGAGTGCCCCTTTACATCAGGTGTCCCAATCAGACGGCCCCTTTACATCAGGTATTCCCATCAGAGTGCCCCTTTACATCAGGTGTCCCAATCAGAGTGCCCCTTTACATCAGGTATTCCCATCAGAGTGCCCTTTTACATCAGATGTCCCAATCAGAGTGCCCCTTTACATCAGGGATTCCCCATCAGAGTGCCCCTTTACATCAGGTGTCCCAATCAGAGTGCCCCTTTACATCAGGTGTCCCAATCAGAGTGCCCCTTTAAATCAGATATTCCCATCAGAGTGCCCTTTTACATCAGGTGTCCCAATCAGAATGCCCCTTTACATCAGGTGTCCTCATCAGAGTGGCCCTTTACATCAGGTGTCCCAATCAGAGTGGACCTTTACATCAGGTGGGTGTCCCAATCAGAGGGGCCCTTTACATCAGGTGTCCCCATCAGAGTAGCCCTTTACATCAGGTGTCCCCATCAGAGTGGACCTTTACATCAAGTGTCCCAATCAGAACGGACCTTTAAATCAGGTGTTCCAATCAGTGTGCCTCTTTACATCAGGTGTCCCCCATCAGAGTGCTCCTTTACATCAGGTGTGCCCATCAGAGTCTCTGCCCCTTTACATCAGGTGTTCCAATCAGAGTGGCCCTTTACATCAGGTGTGCCTATCAGAGTGTTCCAATCAGAGTGTCCCTTAACATCAGGTGTCCCCATCAGAGTGCCCCTTTGGATCAGGTGTCCCAATCAGAGTGCCCCTTTACATCAGGTATTCCCATCAGAGTGCTCTTTTATATCCGGTGTCCCCATCAGGGTTCCCCCTTACTTCAGGTGTCTACATCAGAGTGCCCTCTTACATCGGATGTTCCCATCAGAGTATTTGACACATACTGTATGTCCCCATAGCCAGGCAGGGGACAGGAGCTGGGAGAAGAAGCACGTTGCACTGGGCATGGGCTGGGTGGAGAAGCTTGCTGAAGGGGGCAGGAGCTGGGTGGAGAAGCTTGCTGCAGGAGACAGGGGGGACACTGGTGACGTCACTGGTTGCTAGAACACCAGCGGTCCTAGCAACCAATGACTGTTGTGCAGCAGGGATCTGGCTGCAGATTGATAGGCTCTTGGTCTGAAATGGAGCATCACTCAGGACCGCGGTCCACCATTTAATGATAACTTATGTGATGTATTGGCTAATACGTTTCTGATGGCCACAATGAAGCAAAGAATATTTGCTAGGAGACGTGGCATGATTTTCAGTAAAAAAAAAAAAAATACAAAGTGGTTTAGATTTATATTCACTGTGAGTATCTCTTCAAAGGAAAACCAGAAACTGTATTGAAACAAATCAATGAAATCACACCTCATTTCTTTACCCAGTATTCTCATACCACATCCAGCTTTCTTCCAACAAGCATAATTGAAGCAGGACTTTACGGAAAATAGGGGCGGTTTTAAATCCCACTTCTGAAAATGTAAAGCAGCAAGATGTCTACAGATCTGGAGCCCAGTACTGTAAAACACTGAGGCAGATAAAGCGTTAGGCACTTTTCACAAGCAAGAAATAAAATCTGACTGAGGGATGTAGTCATGCCTCCTATTCAGTACTACCTGATTAATGCAGTGATGCCTCTTCTGCCACAAGAAGTTAGGCCGATTTTGCTTGTTGAATGACAGATGGATCTGGTGTGAGAAATGAAGACAAATATAGTCTCCGGTAAGATGGAATTTATTGCAGTGCACTTATAGAATTCAGGTCAGTAACAGACTACCTTGTCCCATTTTTGTAAATTTTCATTTAACTTTTTCCCTGTGTTTAGCCTGGCAGAATGCAAATAGTATACAATTATTTAAAGGGAACCCGTCAGGAGAGAAATACAGGAGTTTCCATTGCTGACCTAGCTGTCTTCCTCTCCTTGACATGCCTTCTTGTGAATCACCGACCCGTAACAGGGATGGGAAGGTCTAGCTTCTGGCTGTAGTCTTGTCAGGAACTTTTAGAAGTCCTGGAGCTAGAACCTTCAATAAGCCAGCAATGGCTGCTCCCATTTTTCTGTCATGTAAGATGGTGAGAAGCAGTGAGCTCAGTAAGACTTGGTTCACATTGCTGAGACTTGAGATCCGACTTGTGAGACCCCAAGTCACATGACATGTGAAATCCCATGTTAGTCAATGAGGCCTGTCTTAATTAGTACTACTGAAGTTGCTTTGACCTTCGAAAAGGTTCTTGTACTACTTCAAGGCCACTTCTATCCAACTTGTGCCTATAGACTTTAACACCTTCCCGTCCAGCCTATAGCAGATTGACGGTCGGGCGGGACACTCGTCGTTGTGACTGGGCGTCGTTGTGACTGGTCCTGTCAAGAGCAGCCGTTCACGTGGCTGCGGACACAGCCCATGACATATCACTACACCGGCCCATTGCCATGTGTCATGTGACCATTGTGACCAATCACAGAAGATCACATGTCGATTGTATACAATGGATGGCTTCCTGTCATGCCATCCATTGTATACAATTGTGTTGTTAGCTGTGATTGATCAAAGCAGTCACCTGGTACAGAATGAGGAAAGAACAAAGAGAGAGGCGCACAGGCCTAGTGCATTACAATAAAAATGTTTAATAAGAAATAAAATAGGTGTTGTACTCACAAACGACAATATAGTCAAGGCACATCATAATATTTCTTATTAAACATTTTTCATGGTAATGCACTAGGCCTGTGTGCCCTCTCTTTGTTCTTTCCTCATTCAGTATATTTGGATTCCCCCGGTCCATTTGAGGGCAGCAAGGTGTGCATGTTCCAGGACATTCTTAATGTGGTTGTAGCCTGCATCGAGTCCATCCCCAAGCGCAGGAGCATTTGTATTTGCTGAGTCACCTGGTACAGACTGGGCAAATCACAGCCCATCTGTATCATGTGATGAGCTTTGCCCAATCACAGCTAATCACAACAAAAAAGACTGAATTAATCAGTTTCACTCAATAAAAATGATTGCAAATATCAATGAAATACATTGGTATTAACAATCATAATGTGTTAAAAAAAAAATCCTGATCACTTGCCCAGAGTAGTTCAGTGTTACTATGGCAACATTGTATTGCTTTGATCACAGTGTGTTGAAAAAAAAGTAATAAAAAATAAAAAAAAACAGAAAAGTTTGGAAAAAAATTTTTTTTTTTCACATACTGTCACCAGTCAGTGTCCCTGATCACCGCCACACCAGTTATATAATCATGCTGCACTGGACTGGTGACAATATGTTAAAAAAACAAAATTGTGTTTTTTTTTTAATTTCTACATTTTCCAAAAAATTGTAACAAAAAATTACAACCTCCAAAAAACTCACCACGCCTCTTACTAAATACCTTGGACTGTCTATTTTCCTAAAATGGTTAATTTGGGGGGTATTTGTACTATGCTGGCGGTTTCAGCCTCAAGAAATGAAATTGGCCGTCAGCACATTGATTGATCAGATATCAATCAGATATATATTCCACGGTTTGTGGACTCTATACGTTTCCTACAGACTAAATAATATACGCTAATTTGGGGTATTTTCACCAAAGAAATGTAGCAGAATACATTTTGACCTAAATTTATGAAGAAATGTTATTTATTTGCAAAATTTTATAACAAAAACGAAGAAAAAAGGAGTTTTTTTCAAAAGTTTCAGGGTTTTTTTTGGTTATTTAGCAAAAAATGAAAAAAACTCAGTGGTGATTAAATACCACCAAAAGAAAGCTCTATTTGTGTAAAAAAAAATAAATGTTTTTTATGGGTACAGTGTTGCATGACCGCGCAATTGTCATTCAAAGTGCGACAACACTGAAATCTGAAAATTGGCCTGGGAAGGAAGGGGGTAAAAATGCCCAGTATTGAAGTGGTTAATAGAAGTTGCCTCCAACTCGGATCCTCATCTATATTGATGTGATTTGGATCGGACATTACAGGAAGATTACCCAGGCATTCCCTGAAAGTAGTGTGAAGTGAGACTTACTGTTACATATTCTTCCCCGCTTCCTGTCTGGTGAGACTGTTGTCAGCAGGGCAGGAAGTGAGGTTAGACATCTCTAATGAAACTCTTCATAAATGTAAGAACTCATCAGAACGTCTGATCCTTCCCCACTCCATTTAAAAATTTAAATAAAGTTTTTTAAATTAGTGTTTTACTTTTTTTTTAATTCTAAACATGACAGTCCCTGAGAGGGACTCTAGCTTTCCCCTACTCTACAAAAGTAAAGCATTTTCTATAAAGTTAAACTAAGGATATTTTTTTTAACAGGTGAAACTAAGGATATTTAGATTTTGGAAAGCATTCAATGTCAACCTCTAGGTTTGCTGTAATGTTTTGTTTTCATGTGAGCCATGTGCAATGCAATAATTTCATCAAACTTTATTCCCTACCTTGAAGTGCTACTACACCCACAACAGTAATCCTCCCCTTCTTCTACTGGCCCCAATCCATCTGTACAGAGCAGCAGTGGCAAGTCTGCACATGCTCTGTTTAGTGTGCATTGCTGCAGAGTTTTTTTTACTTGGGGGAGTGCATGTGATCAGCACACTGCCAATCAGCACTGTCCAGACAGAGGGTCAGGGGTCATACTGCCTCTTAGGACAATCAGGGGAGAATGAAAACTCCTTATACAAGCTTTGACCAGTGCTCACCTGGACACCGATAGAAGTCGCAAGACTGCTCTAACTGCTGATGAGAAAAGGTATTTAGCAGTTTATATTTAGTAAAATAATTGCACTTCCATGTTGTGACTGCTAAATGGGAGCGCCTGCCTTCACTATAATTTCCTGACCAGTCTGTGTTATAATAGGAACATTTTCAGCGTCAGCCTCTTTGTAAACATGAACTTTAGAAGGAATCTCAGCAGAGATTTACCTCCTAGTTCTCTGATGATTTCTGGGAAATGCGGTGAGTTGATCACATGGTCAAGATGATGGCAATTTTAGGATGTTTTGAAATATGAGCATTATTTACTAAAACTGGAGAGGGCAAAATCCGGTGCACCATTGCATAGAAACCAATCAGCTTCCAGGTTTTATTGCCAATGCTTAATTGAACAAACTGACGTTAGAAGCTGATTGGCTACCATGCACATCTGCACCAGATTCGGAGTGCTCCAGTTTTAGTAAATCTCCCCCAAAGTATTGTTGCCTTGGTTGTAAGAAATGGAAATTAGAAATTAAATGACACATTTGTTTGCCATTATAAGAAAATCATGGTCCACCAGTGTGTTCTT